CATGTGAGAAAAAGACTAGAAATATATCCATTAGAAATGTTAGGAAATAATAATATTAATTGTCAGGATCCCAAGATAGATTTGGGATCCTAAAAGATCTTGAAGATTTGGGATCCCCGAATAGGGTTGAGGATCTTGGCCCTAAAAATTGCCCCCAAATTATACCTGTAAAATATCAAGATTAATTTTAATTATTTAAAGATATTATTTTAAAATAAAAAGAAGAGTAAAGATTTTGAAGTTTTAACTGATAGGGTAATTTGAATCCCAGCGGATAAATTTCTGGCCATTAAAGTAGGCATAGTAATCTGTCAAATCACCCTTCTAACTTTCCATGAATCTCGTATAAAATAGGATGTTTAGTCTTCGGATTTCGCCTTACTCTTTTAGCTCCCTTCCAGACGTATGTTGAATATCTTCGAAGGTATTTTACTTGTTTCTTTTCTTTTTAACTTTCTTCTTCTTTAATCATGGGGAAAAAAGCAACTCGCTCTCATGAAAGTGTAATCATTGTTCCTGATGATGATTTTATCGATCAAAAGACCTTGTCTTACGAGGAAACTTGCACTTTTGAAGACAACGATATCGGAGCTCTAGAAATGGTTGGGGCTTTTCCTGACATCACCGTTTTTAGGCCTTCCTATGCAAAGATCCATCCAGACTTTGTCTCTTCCTATTGGGTCTATTTTCCCGAATATTCTTTCACCCTAGGTCTTTCTTACCCTTTTCCTAGGATCATTTATGAATTCTTTGAGATCACCAAAAATTTGTATATTAAATCCATGCCAGCAGTTTGGAGGATCCTTTACTGGATCGATCGAATGAAACGCTTATGTATATGATCTTTCAACCTTTGGGAACTCTCGTTTCTTAATAAAATTCAAAACTTCTAAGTCACCCATCTATCTAAAATCCAAGCATAATGATGGTGCTTGGAAACGAAAATACTTCTTCGTGAAATGCGACTCCATTCCTGATGGAAATCTCTTGCCATAGTCTTTAGTTAAAAAGGGTACGGTTTCATATTTTTATTCTAAGGATCCCATAATTCACACTCTTAATTTGTTTGATTTTTTGTAGCTTTCAAGTTTGAAGAGCTCGTTCCTCCTACTGAAGACACTAAGGACAAGATTGAGAGTCTCCTAGCCCATTCCAAGATTGAGAGAAGATTCAATCTCGATCATCCTAGCAATCAAAAAAGTTCAACTTCATTATCCCCATGTCTACTGGTAAGGATCCTTAATTTCATTTCATTTTTATGAAGGATCTTAAGCTCATAAAAAAAATTATATGCTTAGGATTCAAGTCTACTCATTATGGTGCCTATTTACTCTCGCCGACCTTGACTCTGTCATGTCTAGTGACCAACTGGTGGTCAAGAAAGAAAAATCTTCATCCTCTCTCCTTCCCAAGAAAGCTCCCATAGACCTGTCTGTCAAAACTTCAGGATCTCGAAAGAGGAAATCAACCGAGGCGTTTAACCTGGAGAAGATCCCAACTTAAGATAACATGTCAAGGTTATAAACCTTAGCAAATTACTGGGAATGATCCCAACTTAAGATAACATTTCAATGTTATAAACCTTTGATTAAACGATAAAATCTTTACATATGTTCATAAAGAAGTGGATTTCCAAGTTAGTAAGCATGAAATGATCCCCTTATTCACATCCCATAGTAAGACATCGTGCGTCCAAGCGAGGTGTAAAAAGCTAAATTCATGTGAAAGAGGTAATTAGCTCTTTAAACCTTATAATGGATTAAGTACCCTTAATTATAGGAGGTATTATCAGTCTCTATTCATAGTTGTTAGGATCCTTGAGCTTCTACATGTTACAAACATTAGCTTGGGGAGGGCATTAGCTTGGCTAACACCCCTTCGATGCTTAAGTCAGTAATATTCTTTGAAAATGAAAGAATTCAAACAAAAGAAAAAGGTAAAGAGTGTGTACCTTGGATCTTGTTAGAAGGCGAATATGCTTCAAGTGTATGGCATTCTAATATCTTAGTAAGATGTCCCATTTGAGGATGTCTAACTAATACACTCCTTTTCCTGCTTTTGAATCGATTAGATATGGCCCTTCCCATTTGGGTGCCAACTTTCCTGCACTAGGATCCTTGTTATTTTGGAATGCCTTCCTAAGAACAAAGTCACCTTCTTGGGATCTTCTGATTTTTATATTTTTGTTATATGTCTTAGTGATTATTTATTGATGAGTTTCAATGCGGATCCTGGCAAAAACCTTAAGTTCATCAATAGTGTCAAGATCTCAGGCTAGGATCTCATTGTTGTTTTCCTAATTTTGGAGTTGGTATCTTGCTGTAGGGATCACCACCACAGTTGTGATCACAAATTCTGTCCCAAACACCAAAGAATATGGATTTTGACATGTGGTTGTCTTTGATGTGGTCCTATCTACCCATAAGACGAAAGGAAGTTCTTAGGCCATCTTCTTTTCTTCGCATCTATCATTTTCTTCGAATTTTTTACTATTTTTTTGTTGCTAGATTCTACTTGACCATTGGCTTGGGGATGAATAGGAGTGGAAGTTATAATTTTAATTCCCCAACTAGTGAAAAGTATCTAGTCCTTTTTCTTATCAATTGGGACCCATTACAACATATGATTCCAACTATATTCATTCCCGATTTCATGAATGGCCAGGAGGAGATGAAGACATATAGAGGTTCTACTGGTTAATGAAGGATGTTACCATGTCTTTGACAAGCATCACACTTTTTTGCATGCAAGAAGGCATCCTTTTTCATTGTTGGCCAATAGTATCGTGTCCTTAATATCATGGAGCATAAAGATCTTCATCCAGTATGGTTGCTACAACCTCGTCCATGTATATCATTCAAAACTTTCATAGCTTCGTGATCTTGAAAACATCTTAGGTATGCACCTAGCATAGATTTTTTGTATAATTTCCCTTGGATCATCATGTAATGCGAGACTCTCATCTGGAATGCTTTATCACTTTTTTTCTTTTTGGGGGATTGTGCCATCTTGGAGGTATTTTATAATAGGTTTGATCCAGGATCTTGGAAGATCCAAATTATGTGGATCCTAATTACGAGGATCATGATCATTTTGTCTACAAGGTTCACGATGAATAGGTTGAGGGTCAGGATCCTAGTTTTTTTAATGTTGTCATGGCTGTCAGGATCTTCAATCGCTAGGATCATTACACAGATTATTGGGATTTTCGTCTCTGGTGGGATTCTAAGGGAGGATCCCAGGTTGGCCAACGCGTTTGCATCAATATTGTCTTCCATGGGAACTTAGTTTAAGGTAAAGGTTTCAAATTCATAGGCTAATTTTTTTAAGAAATTGAAGATTGGAGGCTATTCTTTCACCATTAACTGCATAAGATCCATTAAAATGGTTAGAATGTAATAACGTATCTATGAATACTTGTTAGGATTAAAATCCTTAAGGATCAATCAGATTCAGAACAAGTAAATGAATAACACAATGATGAATCAATAATATCAAATAATTAAGTGTCACGACTCAAAAGAACTCTTTGAAGAATTGCTACTGTAGAGGCGTGAATAAGGTTACAACGTAATTATCAGAGTTAACTAAAATATGATACATGCATGCACCTTAAATACTCTAACCCTAGAAATAAATACGAGTGGATAGGATCAACTCATTAATACAAAAGACTAAGCCCAATGACGCAACATCTAAAACCCAACATTCTCCCCCGTTGCGTTAATTGAGGCCCGAACTCATTAGCCTTGAATTCACTTCTGAACTTCATAAACTTTGGGAATTATGCCAAAAATTGTTTTTCGAAATTCATGTACCACAAAATCATGTTAGTGAAGCACTTGATGTCATCCTTACTATTGCCCTTGAATCTCTTCACCAAATCCAGTATATGCTTAAGGAAGGAAGTAGTGTACAAGTGCTTGTCTGAAAGGAAGAAACATCCCCTACGAAATTCTACACCAGTTTGTTCCTTAGCTTGATACACCACATACCACTCCTTACTGTAAATCTTCCCCAGTTTCAACTTTTTGAAATCCTTTGGAGATTCCTTAAGAATGGCAAAAAGCTTCTTTCACAACACAACACCAATCTTTACATCCATATCCCCAATTTCCTGAATGCAAGACTTGATCATTATCTGGAGATGAGACATGATAGGTTCGTATTTTTCTTTTTAATTCAACAGCATGTTGTAAAGAACTAACTAGTTATTGGGGTTAAGACAAGGTAAGTCTACGAGAGTGAACTTGTAGCATTGACTGGCTGGACCTCTTGCCACTTTGAACATTACGTTTGGAAACATGTCAGTCTCGATTGGTCCAATGATTTTTACACCAGTTATTTTGCTTAAGGACCATGTCTCGTACTGTGGCTTCATATGCTTCAGGTAGAAAGAGAACATCAAGTGATCAGCCCCACTATCTGTGAGTGAAACATTTGCAACCTTCACAAAAGCATGAAACCTAAAATCCTTTGGAGTAATTGGTAGATCCAATTGCGAATCTTGTGTGTTTTGAAGATCAAAAGACATAATTCTCTCTAACCAATATTGGTTGGTAAATCTACATCATCACTCTAGATTCACTTCAAGGTCCACTTGCAAAATAAAAGCTTCTTGCTTTGAAGAGTGGCCTGAGCCTCTTTCTCGGATCTTTCTTTCTCTTCAGCCTCTCGGATGATTCTTTGGTGCTCATGTAATTCAGCCTCATGCGCCTTTTGCCTTTTAAGCTCATTTTCATCCAGCTCTTCTTTGTCTTCACGATTATAAAGGGATCGTTACTGAATAATGTTTCCTCGCCCTTAGCTTCTTGCTTGACCACCAGTTTGACTAGAGCAACATGAGGTTTAACTGGAACTTTAGGATCTTCTTTTCTTTCTTTTCTTGACCCACCAGACATACCTTCTCCCCTTTGTTTCTGATTAATGCTTTGATACAAAACACCTTCTAGCCTGTGAAGCATGGCAAAAATGGGTCGCACTTTCTCTTGCAGATGTTTTCAGACTATGATGGTGAGCATTGAGTCCATAGTCTCAAGAATTTCAGAGAGCATGCTTGTAACATCTATAATAAAGCTTTGCATGACAATTCTCTCAAATAACAAATCATTGACATGTTTCTCTGAAGCTTCCAGTTTCGCACTTAAGACCTTTACTTCTTCTGTCTTGAGTGCAAGAGAATCCTTGATGTTACTCTCCTTTTCCAGTTCGTCTTGAAGCTTTGAAATTTGAGAGGAGATAGAGGCTTGAAATATTTCATGATCAGTTTTCAGCCCAGTACGCATCTCTTGCAATTTAGCCTTCTTAGATTTGAAAAGAGAACCCAAACTCTTAAGAGCATCATTGGCTGCAGTAGTACTAGAGTTGAAGGTAGTTTGGAAGTTCTCCATGAAAACAGAAATGTCATAAATTAGTTTACACTTTTTCGGTCATCGTCTTGCAAACTTCAGCAGAATCAACAATTGCTTTATTCATCTTTTCAGGATTGGCAGTATGCTCCTTTGATATTCATTCAACAAGAGACTCAACTGCGGCTTTAGCATATGCATCAGAAGATGAAGCCTTGGTAGAGAGAATCAGTTGGTAAATCTTTTCATGAAGGGACTGAAGTTTCCCTTTCGTAATAGGCGCCTCATCTCCACTATCAGTCTGAATTTGGAATGGACTGTAAGTGAATTCGCCAAGTTCTTCTTCTTCATCATCGCCAAAGATGATGTCAGGGTCATCTCTGTTAATAGAGGAAATGGGAGGTGAAATATGGGTTGAGAAACCTAAAGTTTGAGCCCCCGTATCAGATACATTGACCGAAACAGGAGGTTTGGTAGAGGTGGCTTGTGGGACAGTAGAATCAGTGAATAGTGGGGTGGAAAGAGGAATACTGGTTTGTTGTTATGAAGAAACTAGTGGAGGGCATGGTGCAATAGTTATTGGGGGTAGTAGTGGTATTAGGTGAAGGAGGATGAGAACGAACATAATCGATAAGATGTTGATTTACCTTAGGATTGGATGTCTGTTCTTCGTTGCGAATGTTATCATTGTCATTGCGAACGGGATTATCCTTCTCAATGTGAATGTCTGATTGAGTATCAGACTCATCTTCGCTTTCACTCGGTATAGGGGTCTTTCCCTTGTGAGCTGGATGCTTTTGTCTTTTGGGTGCAGAAAAAATTCTCGTAGGTGCATTTCATTTGGAAGGAGGTTTTGTAGATACAGATAGCGCCTCATTTTCAGTGGTTTTCCTCTCTCCCTTCTTTGAACCTTTCCCCCCCCCCCCCTCTTGGGTTTGTCAGCCTCATCTGAAATAGCTTGCATTTCGTCAATTAAAACACGAGGCCCAGATGGAGTCAATTTCCTAAACCCCTCCAAGATTTTGATGGAAGGCGGCACAACTTTAAACATAACGTTTGGAATTGAACCAATAAACGAAAGCTTGGAAGAATCTAAAATGTGAAAGGTGGAGATTAACACCATCAATGCGTCTTGCATCACTATGATCTTAAGCTTTTTAATGGAACAGTGGGCAATGAGATTCCAGAAATGTACACAGGAAATCTCACTGTCACATGTGGTGGAGAGTGTGATTTGAACCACTTTTTCCCAAATAAAAAAGTTGTTGTCGATGTTCAAAACTATGTCGAGACCGTAAAGAATGGCCATAAACAACTTGATTGCACAGTACGATCCAGTCACCCTATCTGAAAAACCCTTAAACTGTAAGGTGAAAAGCTAATTCCACTGAGGAAGCAGATTGGGTTTCCTAAACTTTGAAATGGAGGTTAAGGTTTCTTTGTAACCCATTTGGTAAAACATTTCGAGAAGAGCAACACTAGTCACCATCTTAGGGTTAATCATATCTTCAGATTGTGGAAGTTGTAGGAGAGAACAGAATTGAGACTTAGTAATTGAAGTCTTACGGTTATGGATCTCAAATGTGATCCTCTGTTCTTCCTTAATGTAGTTTGTTGAGGGGTAAGCTTTTGACAGGATTGAAAGAGGAATATTCTCCATTCTTGATAGAGAGATTGTGAGCGGAGAATATTTTGTGGAATTCGATCATGGGAAGCATAAAGTTATCATATTTTTACTGAATCGAGATAGATCACCAAGTTTTGATGTTGTATAATTACTAGAAGAGAAGACTGTGTTATCTGATCTTGAGTAGAGATGTTTTCAGATGAACCCACCATTGATGAAGCTTGAGGAAGAAGAAGTTGAACAGTAGTGCTTTGATCGCCGCATATTTTAAGAGGATTTTGTGAGTGATAATGAACAAAGAGTCATCAAAATCCTTTTATACCAATTGATTTGTGAGTGAAATCCGGAGAGAGAATGCATCGACTATTGGAATGTCGCCTAAAAAAGCGCGACTTAACAACTATAGATGCCAGTCCCATACGTCACGCGGCGATAAAGTAGCTATCGATTCAAATCTTCACGCACCTATTTGAATTCTTATCAACAGAATATGTCGCGTCAGCTTTTGCCCTTTTGCAGTTGAGAGTGATTACACATGTCTGCTTAGAAATGAACTTCAGTGATTGAACTGCGAACATGAAAATAAACATAAGAACCACGAACCAGACTTTTGAAAATCGTGAGGATCTTTGTGCAAGAGTGTGAAAGATAAAGAAATAAACCAACACTTTTATGTGGGATTTTGTGATGTCTAAATAAAGACATGAAACTGTAGATCCCATGAAAAGATCTCTTCCTTCAAAGTCATGAGAGACTAAGAAGTGTCTGTGTGGTTTCCCGTTGAAATACGATTAAATGTTTGATAAGAAACATTGAAAGGCATCTTTTAATTTGGGTAAATGGGTGGCTAAATCTACAACCAAACAATGAACTTAATATAAGTGCGAATGTTGAAAGAAGTATGCATGTGACCAGTGTAGTCAGTTGAATGAGTAGGATTGGAATTATTTTAGTGATATATATATGAAACTTTGAAATCTCAAAGAAAAAAAAAGGATCGTATGGGAAGAAGTGACCTGGTATAGGAACACTTAATAAAGATATCGCTAAAGAAAAAGAGATTCCTTGGTACAGACCACGAAAGTGGCTTTCGTTAATTCCATGGTGAAAATTTAGAACATTTAATTGTTCACCATCAATTCATGTAAGTGTGTTGAATTTTGGGTTTCACTCAATTCATGGTTAACGAATCTAAGAAACGAATGGTAGATATGATTCATTAAGGCTTCACATAGAGGTTACTGAGGCTTTGGACAACATACATTAGCATGATTCTAGGGACACCTAGCTAATACAGATATAGAGAAACTTATACCTACCCCATCACATGAATTGAGATAAGATATGAATCTATGCCTCCATGACCTTCTTAAGATATGTTTGATGTTTTTGAGATTTGTGAAAATAAAAGAAATAAAAACAAACACAAATAAAATATTTTTTTTCTTTAGTGATTTTCTGAAAAATAATTAATACATAAAAGATTGAAAAACTAAGTAATAATATACATAAAGTACAAAAGGATATTGGAAAACCTGAACCACGAATGAACAGTAGACTGCGAACGTTCGCACCGATTCGCAGTGTTAAAAGCATACTACGAATGAATAGTGGACTACAAACTATTATGAACGTTCACACCGATTCATAGTGCAATCATTATGTGTGCGAAAGTGGTTTTGGAACAAATTCAACTTCCATCATTCCTAGGCCTTGAAGGATCCTATTGAAGGTTGTTTTAGGCAAGGGCTTTGTGAATATGTCAGCCAAATGATCAGAGGATCTTACGAAATGAATTTCAACGTTGTTGTCTTCTACGTGATCCTTGATGAAATGATACCTCAGTGCTATGTGTTTCTTCTTTGAGTGTTGCACTGGGTTGCGACAAATGTGAATGGAACGAAGCTGATTTTGAATCTAAATGAATTGAGAAGTACATGAGGCTGCAACTATATATTCAGCTTCAGTTGTTGAAAAATACACACATGTTTACTTCTTGGATTGACAACTGAAAAGTTTTCCATCGAAATTGGCATCCTCCAGTTGTGCTTTTTCTATCTAATCCACATCCCCCAAGGTCAGCATCCGAAAAATGCTTGTACTAAGAAGCTTGATATCGTAGGATACCAAATGCCAAGTGATCAGGTTCGTTTCAAGTACCTGAAGATGTTCTTAACAGCCACCATGTGAAGTTTGCCAGGATTCGCTTGGAACCTAGCACAATAACAAATGGAAAAACATAATGTCTGGTCTACTAGCTGTTAGATACATTAATGATCCTATCATTTGACGATAAAGGGCAATATATACAGCTGGTTTTCTAGAGATGGTGTTAGTTTTGTTCTGAATGCCATTGGAACCTTCACTTTAGAGTCTCCCACCATGCCAAACTTAGAGAGAAAAGTCTTCATATATGCTTCCTGATTTATGAAAAAGCCTTTAGGTCCCTGTCTTATATTCAATCCAAGGAAAAACTTAATTGGACCCATGGAGCTCATCTTAAATTTAGTTTCCATCAACATTTGCAATTCAGCTGTTAAATTGGGATTAGTAAAACTGAAAATGATGTCATCAACATAAATCTGGACAATCATCAAGTGGTTACCCGCTTTCTTGCGAAAGCAGTTTGGGTCAATGGAACCTTGTTTAAATTTATACATTTTAATTAAATGAGTAAGATTTTCATACCAGGCTCTTGGAGCTTGTTTTAGACTGTAGACTGCCTTGTCTAATATGAAGCAGTGATTGGGATACTTCTCGTTTACAAACCCAGGATGTTGTTCCACATATACAGTTCCTTCTAGTTCTCCGTTTAAGAATGTGCATTTAACATCCATCTGAAACACCTTGAAGTTCTTGTATGCTGCGTATGACAGGACAATGCGAATGGATTCCAACCTTGCAACAGGTGTGAAGGTTTCTTCGTACTCGATGCCTTCTTCCTGACAATACCCCTTAACCACGAGTCTCACCTTGTTTCTTATAACATTCCCTTGTTTATCCATTTTGTTGTGAAACACCCATTTTAAACCTGCAACTGATGCATATGGTGGAGTTGGAATTAGCCTCCAAACTTTGTTTCATTCAAACTCGTTAAGTTTGTCTTGCATCGCCTGCACCCAATCAGAATGATCGAGAGCAATATTAACTATTTTGGGTTCAACATTGGAAACGAATGAGTTCAACATACAAAATTCCACTTTAGAGAATAATGCAGTTTCTTTCACTTTTATCTAAGATCTCGTAAGAACACCTACAGAAGATTCACCAATAACTTGGGTTTTTGGGTGATCTCTGGTCCATTAGGTTAGTGGATGATAGTTTGGATCATAGGAGGGATCTAATTCAGCATTCACTTCTTCGAATTCTGATTGCACATATGAATCGTCATTCACATCTTTATTCTCCCCCTCGA